TTTTTTTTTAAATTTTACAAATATTTATTTAGTTTTTTTATTTTTAAAATAACTATAATGTGACCACATTTATTATTTATAATATAGATAAATTATTTTTATTCACATTGATTATTATAAGTTTATTTTAATTCAAAATGGCTGACTTTCATAAACACACTGAGAAAATACCAAACATAGCAAGCTGCTTGTCATTTGCATTGAGTGCCAAAGTACAATGTCAGCTATTGAATCAGAGTGACAAAAATGCTGAAAAAAACAATTTAGATTTTTACTATTTGTTTAATAATAAGATCTATTGTAACGAGTTTTGATAAATATTTTTTATTTTCATGGATTTATGTACTAATATAATATGTAATCATACCTGAATATAATCATATGTATAATGACACATGCCTTTACCAAATAAATGAGTAAATTTTTATGAATTTTTACTTACATGGTTTATGGACCCAAAAAAATGTCAGGGTGGACAAACACTCCACTGCATTAATGCCGAAAAAAATTTCAGTACACTAACGCAGGGTTAATTATTTAATTGAAATTTTTAATTGATCAAAGAATGAATTCAAATAAATTATAAGTAATATTGCAAAATTCATTGCTCATACATTAAAATGTTTCAATATCCATTATAAAATAGATAAAATAAAAATTTTTAAATAATAATGAAAGTAAAATTAATTATAGAGAAATATTTAATTAAACTTTTAAAATGTACCTTTTCCACATATGGAACAGGTATAGATCCTGTCTGACCCAAATGATTTCTACCTGTCCACCATTGCTCTTCATCTTTAGTTATAATACTTAAAATTTCACCTTTCTTAAAAGGCAAATCATCTGGATCACCCTATTGAAAATTAATCTATTGTTAAAAATATGTAAAAATAAGTAAATTATTATTTCCTTATATTCTATCGAATATTTTATTAAGCATTAGAATTTAAAATATTTTTAATTCATAGGACATGCCAGTATTTTATTTTTTAATGTGAAGTCACTAGTTATTATTCACTTTTTCATTAAGTATCAAAGATCACATCAAAACTTGTTATTCCTTAATCCTACTATTAGTATGCTTACATAAGAGGAGGAAAAACTAAGAAAATCTGGCTAACATGTAATACTGATTTTGTTAAACTTTTATTATTCAACTGAACAGAATAAATTCTAAAGACATATGTTAACAGATCTTCTAGCAACAACAGGTTCAGGTTTTTTTCAGGTTTTATTAAAAATGTACACATACATGCCCAACTCTGCTAGGCACTGTTGCACTTAAAAACATACAATACTAAATAAGGATACATAGTTTGGTATAATTTAAACATATAAACATCAACTCACAGCCCGAGTAGATAATAACACCACCAAACGATCGCCTAATTATCGGGCTATAATGTCAAATTACTTAGTTCCAATCATTTAATATAGCCATATTATAGCCCGATAATTAGGCAATCGTTTGGTGTTATAATTTAAACAGTATGAAAATGGTAATTTGTAATTAACATCAAGCAACAAAACAAAACAGTTGCAGGATTTCAAGATGATTCAAAATAAATACCTACTGACATAGAAAATAATAATAAAATCATAAGTATTTTATACAAAATAAGAAAAAATACATAGTTTACACAGTAGAGCTAAAAACATCAATTGCAGTAGAAGTTGTATGTACAGTAAACCAACATTAAAAGATATATTATCTAGGCTGCAATAGCAAATACTGATCAGTCACCTGTTATTTACAGTCTCTGCAGAATGCCTATGATATGTTTTAGTTAATTGCCTAAAAATGTCAAAGATTTCCTTAGTACTTAGTAGATCACTTGGGCTACAGGGCCAATGATCATTGTGTTGTGTGATCAGTACTCAAATTTGTTGCCTTTCAATTTTGGTAATGATGCAGTCAAAGGTGTAATGTAGGGCTCCATCCTCCATACTGCATATTGGGCAGTCCTTGTTGGGATATCCCTTGAACCTCTGAAGGTAACTTTTAAAATTTCCATGATTGGTCAGAATTGGGTTATATAGTAATCTGGGGTAAACCATTTAAGAGAGTAAAATTGTTTGATATTAGGGATGAATTGCTTTGTAACACTATTGGTATTATTATTGTTCTCCAAGGATTCTTGCAACTCCTGTATTAGATCATTCCAAAGATGAGTTTTTATAAATGCCTTACTGTATTTATTATATGTAACAGGTATGCTGTGATCCAAGGCTGCAGATTTTGCTAATGCATCTGCCCTTTCATTGCCCAGAGTACCAATGTGGGCTCATGTCCAAGAAATGATGCAAGTGTTGTTTGACTGTATAATTAATTTGAGAATCTCTGCCACTATAGGATATAGCCTGGTGATATATATAAGCACAACAGCTGAGGAACAGTCTGTTATGATCACAATTTTAGTATTAGTATACTTCCTTATTGTCCATTCAAGAGCCTTTTGAATAGCATAAAGCTCTGCCTGGAAGTTATTACTATGCTTTCCCAGACAATATTGTTAACGAAAGATCTCTGTCTTGCTCATAAGCCATGAAGGAGCAGCCTATATTATCATCTATTCTAGAGCTGTCTGTGAATACTTTAAGATGGAGATCAATGTCACTAAGTCTGGTGATTTGTTTGAAAGAATCGGGGTAAACAGTTTGGGAATAAGGAGCATTTTTTTCAAGATCAGATGCATAGTATGTTTTGGAGACAGTCAAGATGATGTGCCCCCATTTCATGTTTTTGATCTTGGAGTTAAGTTCAATAATTTTGTCTACTGATAGTTTTCAAGAGATGACTTGCAAGTAGGCTTTTGTAATTTATATAAGGGCTTTTATGTTAGACAGAAATCATCTTCCTTTTAAGGTGCACTTTCTTAATTGCCCATCCCCAGCTGTTGCACACACATGTAACAATAGGAATAAATATTTGCTCATATATAATGTCCAGAGCCTTGGAGTCGAGCCCCAGGTTTTGCAGGCAATTTGAGAAAATGCCTGAAAGATTACGCCTGTTTTTTTTTGCTGTGTTTTCTATGTGCTCGTTCCAAGCTAGATGATGGTCTAATGTGACTCCAAGATACTGAATAGATTTTTCAACTTTTATGACTTTTCCATCCATCTTAATTGATGGTAAGTGCCGGTAGAAATGAGAATGTCTAGTCTTATTAATCACAAGGCATTTGGTTTTTGTAGTTTTAAATTTTAATTTATTATGAATGCCTCTAGCAACAACACTGAAAATTTACATCTACAACATAATTATAATTAAGCTTCATTCTGGTAATTAATTCCCTATAAAAAAAAAATGGACATTACCATGTATCTTTTGTATAAAGAAAAAAATAAATAAAAGATAAAATTTGAAAGCAACTGATAAAGGTTTAGAAAGATCCAAATGTATGACTATCAATGTAAGAAACAAATTAAATAGACTTCTCCCCTCTCTATACATCTATATAAATTCTCCAAAATAACAGAACACAACTTGTGTTTTTATTTAATTTAATCAATGATTATAGTTTTATTTAATCAAAAATTACATAAATATAATTAGATTAACATCACAAAAAATGTAATTTTTCATTTTTGTTTTAAATTTTCATACAACATGTGATTTTAGTTAATTATTGTTAATAATAATATATTAATACTTACACTCCCTTCAAAATCATATTTAGCTCTGACTTTTTCAATCTTCCTCTCTAACTGAAAAGATAATTTTATTAAAGAATTGAATAACTTTAAATAATATTTATATATTTTATTACAATTAATTAAGGTATTAATAAAATAAAGATTTCAAAAATTATTTACAATTACATAAATTATAATAATTAATATTCAAAGTTCCTCCTTCATCTCATCTTAATCAAAAACTTAACTTTGATTTGATAAAATATTCAATAAAGATGTGCTGTCAGAGCATGCAAGGTAGGCAATGCATGCTCCAAACTACTGTTAAAAGTACTTTTTTTTTTTTTTTGAGTTTTTATAGCAGAAATGCAAATTTCCCACAATTTCTGCACTAATATACAGTAAAACCTGTCTATGGCAACCACACACAGTTCCTTTCAAAAAGTCTGGTCTTTTAGACAGGTGGTCGTCCAATACAGATGGTGCTGTAATACCATATTTTGTGTACATTTTAGCCATTTGTACTAAGCAAACTCAAGGTGAGCAAAAATAAGCGAATTTTTCAATGATAGAGCTATATTCATATTGTATTTTATTCTTATCGAATAACTCAATTAACAGGAGCTGTCTGTGATCAGTCACCTGATTGGTGTTAAATCTGTTATAAGACAGATTTAACACCAATATTTTAAAGATTAATATAGTATTTGCATTTTCTCAATTATAATGCACACTTTCTTTTTTCCGACTTAATTAATTCAACTTGGTTCTCTTTGTTTGTTCCTCAGTTACATGTATTATGTCATCGATATAGAAGCGCATCTCTCCACCACTTTGGTTTTGGTTTTCGTTAGTTTAATCTATTTTAACTTTAAAAATATTGTATTTTTTAAAAATATTTAATATTTTCTCAACACAATAAGAAAAATTATTAATTAATAATAAAACGATTTTATTATTTCTTCTCATAATACAATTTCATTACATCAATGACAATCGCAAATCGAAAAAGGAAGGTTGCCTGTAAAACAGATTTTTGCGTTAATGCATTTATTGTTTTTTGAATATTTTGTGTGAAAAAATTACTTGGATATTATTTTTCTAAAAATATCATGGAAATAAGGTAGGTTGATATAGAAACTATTTATCACACATGTACTGTATAGATCGCACAGTTTGAGATGAAGGATATAATGTTAATAAACACATCATTTATTGGCAACAACTGGAAATATTATGAATGTATTCCACATGGACTGAAGAATAATTGATTTGTGCATGTTTGTGCATGAAAAACAAGTCCAGCTTTTTTTTGTAGGACATGCATTAACAATGTGTGTTCTGTTACAACTGTTATATCTGGAATTACTGAGGAATCAGGAGTATCCTTCTCTCTTCTTGACTGCTTTAACTGCTCCTAGGCCTGTCTGATAGGTAACTGAATGCTCTTTTTTTCTATCTGCCATTACTTTGATTTCTATTGTTTGTAGTTTGGCTATTTTAATGTCTTGACATATTTTAGTGATTCTTTTGAAATGTTATCAGACTACTTCAGCATACAATTTATCATAGACTTATCACACAGATTCACAACCAATTTTGCTCTTAGAGCTCTTGCTAAATAATCTTCAAAGTCACATGATCTATCTAACTTATGAATTTCCATTTCATACACATTGATCAACTCTTCTGACTCTCAAACTCTAGTATACTTTGTATATTTCCACTATCACTAGCTTTTTGGACTAAAGTGAACTAAAGGTAACCCCTGTATAACACGGTAGTTACGTTCCAAAAAATTGCTGTGTTATGCAAATCCGTGTTATATGAAACAGAGAACTAGTACAAAAAGGAGAGTTAGGTTCCAAAAATTAAAAAGCATGCTATTATATTTTCATAATTAAGATAAATATCTTTATTAACATTTTCTTAAGTGATACATATTAATATAAATTAAACAATGTTTTCTTTGTCATCGCTAAAAGCACTATTAACCAAGAGCGTTTTCTTTTTGGCAAGTTATCCTTATCCTCTGAGCATTTTTCTGCATTATGTTCAGATCCATGCTTTACCTTTTGCAAAAAGTATGTAATTTTAGATTGCTTGCTTCTAGTTAAAAGATCTTTATAAATTGCCTTATATGGTGCTAAGCACTTTATAAATTTCCTTATATGGTGCTAAGCACTTATGAAGAATAAAGCAAGTATGGAATAAGGGAAAAACATCTGGCAACATCAGAAGCAGAAGTATCGAGATCTGGCAACATTGAAACAAGTTTCGAGAAGGACCATGTGTATCGACAGAAGGCGAGAAAAGAAAATTTACATACTTAAGTAATAATAGTTCACGAAAATTATTATTTTCATGAACTATTACTACTTAAGTATGTAAAAATTTATTACATTTCATGTTGTTCAAGGGTTTTACCCAATTCTCAAACCGTGTCAGAGTGAATCCGTGCTATAACAGTACCGTGTTATACGGGGATGGTACCAATTCTCAAACTGTGTTAAATTGAATCCATGTTATAGAAGTGCCGTGTTATACGGGGGTTACCTGTACTGCAATCATCTTCAAGGTCTGAGATGAAACGTTTGATAATGACTGAGGAGTGAACAAATTCCTTAGGACTGAAAGAACATTGGGAATAGAATCAGCACATGCAATTGTTTCCTAGTCTCTGGGGTCTTCATAATCTCTGAATAAATCAAAAGATGGTCAATAAAATTATATTGATCATCTTTTATTATTTTTTATTACTCTAAACCTGGGAGGAAAACCTATAAAGCATGGGTTCCCAACCTATGGGTTGCATGGGTTTTCTGTGGAGTCACCAACTTATACAGTAAACTAAAAAAAAATATTTACTATAATATTTTAAATGGTGTCTTGGAGTTTGAATAATTTCATATATTTTTTTAAAATTAAAATAAGTATAATCTAGGTACACTATTCTGTCACAGTTGGTTGAAACATGTGTTAAGAGTTTGAGAGTAATGGTGAAATGCCTCTATTGTTTGAGGCAATTCATTCAAAACGTAACCGAGAATTTCTGAGAAGGTAAGCAATAAAACATCCAGATAACCATGAACGAATTTACTCAAACATATGTACAAGCTATAGTCTATTTATTTTCAACAGTCAGCGCTCCAAAACAATATTCAACGAGTGACTGTCACATGTTCTTCAAAGTATGCTTTGTGATTGGTCGCTCACTTTATCAGATGCACTGTGCATACTAATCAACAGGGCAGTTTTGGTTTGTTGTTCGGGAGATTCAGTTGGCGTGTGCAAAGGGTATGTAGCAACTAGAAATACTAACTTTAAATTTTCAGAAATGTATAAATTATTTTATGAGGCTATGGGAATGATAACACCAGAAATATGGAAAAAATGCATTGAGCATGTTAAAGACAAGGTTGAAATTAATATGTGGCAGTTAGACAATGCGATAGAATTAAGTAAATTTTTAATTAATTTAAATGATAAAAGCAACAGTGATTCCTCAAATTAATTTTATTTACTTTTAATTATTTTTTAATAAGTTGTTTTAAATTTAGTATTTAAAATATGTTTTATTTATAATCCTTGCCTTTATTATTAGTTTTTACGTTTTTTCTAATTATATTTGCTTTTAAAATTAATAAGGTGTTTTATTTATTTTTAAAAAAAATTGAATATTTCTTCCAATTCAGTCCTGTCTTAGTGATCACGTGATTCCTGCGTGCGTTTGTTATTGTCGGCTGACTTTAAAAAAATAAACAGACTTTAGAAAGTCTTTCAGAATATTTTTAGTCTTATTGAACACTTTGTAAAGGAAGCATCATGACGCTGTGGATTATTTGTGACTAAACAGACAGTGGTGATTATTACTTTCACATTTAATTTGTTTAGTCTTTTATATTATTATTTACATGGCGTAAAATTATTCAGAAATTTCGTTTATTCTTTCCCCAGCAATGGAAAAAAAAACGTAAATATTCAGAAGAATATCTGAAATTCCGCTTTACTAACTTGACTAGCAATGGAATAGAGAAGCCACAATGCGTATTGTGCAAAGTTGTTCTCAGTCACGAGTCTATGAAACCTTCAAAACACAAATGTCACTTAGAGACCATTTAGAACACACTAAAAAGGATTTGGAGTTCTTTCGTCAGCATGAAACTACTTACAAACGTCAGAGACTTGATCGAACAGAAAGTTTTCAGCAACGAGAGCACAGCATTAGTGCAAGCATCGTATAAAGTTGCATTGGAAATTGCCAAACAAAAAAAACCTCGCACAATTGGTAAAAAGCTTATCAAACCCTGCATGTTGAAGATGGTGAAATTAATTCTTGGGTATTCAAGTGAAGTAAAGATGCAATGAATATCTCTGTCTAATAATACTATTCAGCAGCATATATCAGACGTGTCCGTAGACATTAAAGAACAGATTTTGAATGAAATCAGGGTTTCATCATTGTTTTGTTTTTGAGTTGATCAATCAACAGATGTAAGCTTGTGTTCTCAGTTGCTTGTCTTTGTGAAATACGGTATATTCATTCAGATGATGTCAAAGAAGAGTTCTTATTTTGTAGTGGACTTGAAACTACAACAAAAAGTAAAGATATTATGGAAAAGATAAATACGTTTTTTGAGACTGGAGGATTAAAGTGGAAAAACGTCTGTGGGGTTTGTACGGATGATGCACCATCTATGCTTGGGTCAAAATCGGGCTTTCAGAAAAAAGTAAAAGAACTAGTTCCCCAAGTAAAGGGAATCCACTGCATGATTCACCGGTATGCCCGTGCCAGTAAGACTTCCAACTCCTCTGCAAGAGGTACTAGATTCGATTATAAAAATCATAAATTACATCAAATCTGGAGCTCTTAACACCGACTGTTTAAAAAACTGTGCAAAAACATGGATTCTGATCATAAGGTTCTTCTGTGGTGAGCATGCGAATGAACAATACAATACAAGGTTGTACAGAATAAAATATTTTATTAACTCTTTGCACAGTTCTATATACACTAGATACTTTAGGATCCCAACTATGCAACTCCAATATATACAAGATGCTGTGATAGA